ATATATCGAGCCCTCAAAAGTCGTGCCCTCAAAAGGGGTGCCCGCACCCTCAAAAGGCGTGCCATCAAAAGGCGTGCCCGATTCATCAAAAGGCGTGCCATCAAAAGGCGTGCCATGAAAAGGCGTGCCAGGTTGTCGGCGTCAAGAGGCGCGCGATGCGCGTGGCTGCCTCTGTGTCCTGAGGCTGAGGCAGAGGCGGAGACAAAAAACTTGCGAGAGATATTCTGAGAGTTTCTGAGAGAGATTTCTGAGAGAGGTATTCTGTAACACTCGGTTGTCTGAGAAAATGGCCTCTTCGTCTCGCCCTCTGCTTACTCTCTTTCCCGACCTCAACGAGTCCACAAGAGAGATAACTGGTGCGGTGTCCCGTGAACCTCAACCAAACAACACTGGGTTTGCTCCGTTGAATTTTCCGATGCAGTCGGTGGAGCAAAAAATGGCAGGGCAGTCAGATGTTGAAGCCAATCAATATACACTGAAGTCATGTGTGGAAACCATGACTGCGGTTACAAATTTGTCGAACCGGCTGCAGAGTAGAACAAATGAGGTGCAGCATTTGAACGGCCAACTGGCTCTGCTCCAACGCATGTATAAGGATGCGCGAGCAGAGATAAGTGTGCTGAAAGCAGAAAATAAGGAGCTGAAGCGGAAGGCCACTGTGATGTTCCGATTTGGAGGTCCACCGTATGCTGCAGTGGAGGAGCAGGGAGTAGTGATTGTGCCCAGTGGAGTGGGAAACACGGAGGCAACACCGGCAAGGGCCGCCCAGGAAGGAGGCAAGAAGAAGAGACCGGCGGCAGAGTAGAGGAAGTGAGGTCGGTGGGTGGCCGTCTGCAGAAAAGAAGACAAATCGTTTAATATGGAGACAATACCGGCAAGAGCCGTCCAAGACGGAGGCAAGAAGAAGAGACCTACAGCAGAGTAGAGAAGAAAAATCCCACTGTGCCGATTTGTGTTGAGTTGGTTTTTTTTTTTTTTTTTTTTTTTTTTTGGTGTAAAATGGTGATCGGGGTGAGCCCGACATAAATAAAATAAGTTCGTCTTCTTCCTCTGTGTTGTTTTGTTTTGTTTTTTTTTTTTTTTTTTTTTTCTAACTTTTTTTTAATTTATTTATTTATTTATTTATTTTTTTTTTTTGTTTGGGAAAGGAAATAAAAGAAAGAGTGGAAATATCAGAAGGAGTGGGAATCGGTGAGCGAATAAATGAGATATAAAAAAAAAATAGACAAAAAAGGTAGTGGATTGAAATAGTAAATAATAAAATAAGAAGAGAAAGTGGGGTGTGCGTGAGTGGAGGCAGACACTGGGAATCAGTTTAAAGTGAGAAATCAATGTGCATCTGTGAGTGATGGCCAAGTGGGTGAAAATATTAAACAAAATAGTGGTTTTAAAAAAGAAAAGAAAAGGGAGGGGTCGGTGGGAGATGCCCACAAACGGATGAGAGATGAGAGACACACATGGGTAGACAGAGAAAGAGAATAATAAAAAAAAAGAAATAGAGAAAAAAGAAGAGCCATGTGCCTCCATGTTCACCATCTCTGTAGAAGAGGGAACCACGGCTGCGCATGGAGAAAAAGTGAGATGGGTGAGGTGGCATGACTGGCTATTGCACCAGAATATGTCTTTGGTACATCTGAGTCAAAGCAAGAACTGGCTGTGGTCCCTCCGAACTCAACTGTTTACTATGAAGTCGAGCTGGTTTCCTTTGTCAAGGAGAAGGAATCCTGGGATATGAACACCCAAGAAAAAATTGAAGCTGCTGGGAAGAATCGGCGGAGGTGTTTGTCGGCGGCAGCAGAATTGGCCGGAGAAGCTGGAGGTCCATTCTGATGAGAGAGAACAGACTATTAAGCAGCTGTTGACAGAGATGGATGGGTTTTCGGGGAATTCGGGTGTGATTGTGTGGGCTGCGACGAATCGGCCAGATGTTGCGGGGAGGGCGTACAAAGCCGATTGATATTCTTTCCAAGCAGCTCAATCCTTTGGATGAATTTGATATAGAAATAAATGAACCATACATGGTCTTGAAGGGTTTGACAGTAAGAGAGATGGAAGAACTTCGGGAGGACATAAAAATGCATCTGGATTTAGACAAGGCAACACCTACACAGATAGAGTATTGGGAGGCACTCCTGGTGGTTTGCGATTGGGAACTAGCTGAAGCTCGAAAGAAAGATGCACTGGATCGAGCTAGAGTGCGTGGAGAACAACCACCGGCTGAGTTGCTAGCTGAATGACGACTTGTTCGCCGATATAGAGGGGGAAGCCGCCGTCTGTGGGAGTCGTGTGGCCGGCTGTGCCGAGGATTCCGGGCCATATGGTTTCCTTGCAGGAGAGACATCAACAAGAAGGGGAGGAAGATGAGGTGCCAGGATGTTGGCATTTCTTCTGAATCTTGGAGAAGAAAATAGAGAGAGGTTTGAATTGGTTGAGATCCGGCGGGCGGTCAAGGCAAGGTTGCCGCCCGCCGGAAGGCGAAGAACACCAAGATCTTTAACCTTGCTCTGATACCATGTTAAAATTCAAGTATTATTGACTAATATATTACAAGATTGTTGTATATTGATTTGTATGTTACAAGCTATTATATAGGAGAGATGTGAGGTAAGTGAGTGGTGGTAGTGGATGGTAGTGGAGGTGGTGGGTGGTAGTGGAGATGGTAAGTGTGTTAGGTTTAGTGGGGTGGATGTAGTGGGTTAGGTTAGTGGGTTAGGTTTAGTGTACATTAACAGTTCTCATCCTTTTTTGTTGCACATGACCTGTAAAACCAGAATCACAAATGTATATACACATATATGTATATGTATGCTTGTTTGTATGTATTTTACTTAGATTAGACTTCCCTCCTGCCTATAATCTAGATTCAAATGTGTTGTTTGGGCCCGTGGGCCCACTATGAGTCTCATTTCAATTATTTGGACCGTACATTTTTTAGGATTCTTCGTTTATATCATCCGCAAAAAAATTAAATCAATTCGATAATTTTAGCCTTTTCAATTTATCGTGTTTGTCATTAAAAAAATGGATTTTTTTTTAAAAACACACTTATCATTCCTTTTCTTGGATACAATTGTAATAAATTAAACAGGCTATGATTATTGAATCAATTTTTTTTTTTTATAGATGATATACATGAAGGACTTTATGAAAATAAAAAATTTAAATCATCAAAACGTGACCTGGGGCGGACCTCCACAACCCAAAAGGCACCCCCATTGGCCATGTATTGGTAATGTCTATTTATTTTGAATCTTTCATATTTTCCAATTTAATAATACTTTGACATTTGCTTGAATATTGCTATCTAAAAACTTGAAAAAATAAAATAATAAAAATCAAGGTTTCAGAATTTTCATAAAAAAATTGTACAAATTTTAATTTTATCCCTAAGTTAAGTTGTCATAGTTCATATAATATTTTTCTTTTTTGGGGTGCGTGTAACAAAAATAATGCCACCATTTTATTGGTTTAGGCTGTGTTTGGTTTATGAATTTGAAGAAAAATTTAGAAAGAAAAATGGGAAAAGGTATGTAAAATATAGGTGAATTATAGTTACATTTCATTCACATTTTACCTAATATTTCTTTTCTATTTCCAAATTACTTTCAAAATTCATTAACCAAAAGAGAAAGAAGTACATGAGAGACAGTCAAAACCAAACAAAAGTACAAAAATATAGAACAATGTATCAAAGAACCAAACAAGACCCTACTAGAACAAACTTAAAACATGATGACCATATTAGTATCCAAAGTAGAAAACGATGAGTGACTTTTGTGGAATAAATGGCTTTTGTGAACACTATCTACGTGTGGGACCTTCCAACTTTCTTATTTTAATTGCCTCTTGAATCATATTGAATGAATGGACCATACCTTCTGTATGGCCTAAAGTTAGACCTAACATCTCCAAAATACAAACCTGAAACATCTCCAAAAGCACAACAAAATAAAATAAAAATCACCCTAAAAAAAAAAAAAGTCATCCCAAGGTCCATGAAAAGTAAAACTTTTACTTACCCAAAAAAAAGTAAAACTTTTACTATCCATGGGTTCCAATACTAAAGAATAAAAAAAGAATTCATATACAAAGGTTAAAATAACTCTATATATATATATTAAAAAAAAAAATCAGAATCATCATGATGTCCAAAAGCTCCATACATATAAAGGTTGTAAATCTCATATTAATTGTTAAAATTAGGATTGTAAACGAGTCAAATTGAATCATATAATAGGTTATTCAAGTTTAATTTGAAAAACTTATTGAGTTTGAAGAAATATATATAAGTTTGTCTTTTGTTTACCATTTGAACCGAACCCAAATGAGTTTTAATGGAATGGAGTTTGAGCAACTAAATTGGTATTTTATTGCCCATTTAAGTTTATAAAACTGAGTTCGAGCTAAACTCAAAATATTAGCGAGTTTCAAAACGTGTTCAGTTTTAACTTATTTATATAATAAGTCATTCTTCAATTGTTTTTTAATGAGCTGAATATAAGTCGAGTTCAAATGATTTGATTTGATTTGTTTTACCATCTTAACTTAAATAGATATGCAAGGAAAATGAATATTAAATTAAATAAGAAATTATCATATCAAAAATTATCAAGGCACCGTGTTGAATTTTTAAAATAAAATTTTCTTCTTTTTCATGGGTCTAATACTCAGATCTACAACATAAGTTGCCTTATCTAAAAAATAACTAACAAGATTATGGAACATAAATTATTAAAGGCAAATAGAAAAAAAATGATGAAAGATGGAAAACATTATGAAAAGTTGATGACAAAAAGGTGCTTAGTTAATAATTAAGCAATACAATAAATATTTCAAAAGAATATGGCGATATGCAATTATCAATTTGCTTGTCTATGGCTTTTCATTTCCGCTCATACATGACTAAAGCATGCATTTGGAAACAGTTGCAATTATCAATTGTTGCCTATCCACAATTTTGTAACAGTCACTAACTACATGTGTTGTAAATTACTTTGCAGGTTGCTTTCCCCGTCTTGGAGGATTTGGAAATTGAGGAATTGCCTAACATAATAGAGATATGGGACAAGCAATTAGTCATAGCCTCAGAAGAAGAATCAAAGTCCTTCTGCCAACTGAAAGATATGAGGGTTTCTAATTGTGGGAAATTGGTACAAGTGGTCCAGTTCAATATGCTCTCACGACTGCAAAATCTGGAAACATTCAACGTAGATGCATGTCCAAAGATGGAAGCGATAGTCTCAAAGAAAGGAAAAGAAGAAGGATCCACCAGTGATGATATCATCGTGTTCTCTCAATTAACAACTCTTCATCTTTCTAAGTTGGTGAGACTTAAAAGCTTCTACAACTGGCCTACAAGATCTAAGGCACAACCCTTGTTCAACCACCAGGTTTGATTTTCCTTTTTTATTTTATTAACCATGGCCATGGGAAAGCGTGCACACACAAAAAAATAAAATAAAAATAAAATTCCTTTTCCATTACAATTTTCGATTTGAAGCTTATTTGAATATTCTACTTCTATCCAAATCCAAATAAAAGTAAAATAATTTCAAGGTGGATATGCTTGGGGCCTATGATGGAAATTACAATAATAGCCAAAGAAAAATATGTACGAATTCTAAATACACCATATTTTTATTTTGAATATGAATCTTAATATGATTTTGTTTGACTAAAATATATATAAGTTTGCCTTCTTTACCATTTGAGCCGAACCCAAATGAGTTTTAATCGAACAGAGTTTGAGCAACTTGGTATTTTACTACCCATTTAAGTTTATAAAACTGAGTTCGAAATGAACTCAAAAAATCGGTGCATTTTAAAATGTGTTAAATTTTAACTTATTTAAATAATAAGTCATTCTTGAATTGTTTTTTATTGTGCCAAATATTAATCGAGTTCAAATAATTTGATTTGTTTTACCATCTTAACTTAAATAGATATGCCAGGAAAATGAATATTAAATTAAATAAAAAATTATCAATATAAAAAATTACCAAGGCACCGTGGTGAATTTTTAAAATAAAATTTTCTTCTTTTTCATAGGTCTAATACTCAGATCTACAACATAAGTTGCCTATTCTAAAAAATAACTAACTGGATTATGGAACATAAATTATTAAAGGCAAATAGAAAAATAATGATGAAAGATGGCAAACATTATGACAAGTTGATGACAGAAAGGTGCTTAGTTAATAATTAAGCAATACAATAAATATTTCAAAAGAATATGGCGATATGCAATTATCAATTTACTTGCCTATGGCTTTTCATTTCCGCTCATACATGATTAAAGCACGCATTTGGAAACTGTTGCAATTATCAATTGTTGCTTATCCACAATTTTGTAATAGTCACTAACTACATGTGTTGTAAATTACTTTGCAGGTTTCTTTCCCCGTCTTGGAGGAATTGAAAATTCAGAAATTGCCTAACATAATAGAGATATGGGACAAGCAATTACTCATAGCCTCAGAAGAAGAATCAAAGTCCTTCTGCCAACTGAAAGATATGACGGTTTCTAATTGTAAGAAATTGGTACATGTGTTCCAGTTCAATATGCTCTCACGACTGCAAAATCTGGAAACATTCAACGTAGATGATTGTCCAAAGATGGAAGCGATAGTCTCAGAGAAAGGGAAAGAAGGAACCACCAGTAATGATATCATCGTGTTCTCTCAATTAACAACTCTAAAACTATCTGAGTTGGTGAGCCTTAAAAGTTTCTACAACTGGCCTACAAGATTTGAAGTACAACCATTGTTCAACAACAAGGTTTGATTTTCCTAATTTATTTTATTAACCGTGGCCATGGGAAAGCATTCGCACAAAAAAAATTAAAATTCCTTTTTAAATACAATTTTAAATTTGAAGCTTATTTGAATATTCTCTTTCTATCCAAATCCAAATAAAAGTAAAATAATTTCAAGGTGGATATGCTTGGGGCCTACAATGGAAATTACAACATTAGCCAAACAAAAATATGTATGAATTCTAAATACACCGTATCTACAACATAAGTTGCCTTATCTAAAAAATAACTAACAAGATTGTGGAAAACAATTATGAAAGATGGAAAACAATATGAAAAGTTGATGACAAAAAGGAGCTTAGTTAATAATTAAGCAATACAATAGATATTACAAAAGAATATGGCGATATGCAAATATCAATTTGCTTGTCTATGGCTTTTCATTTCCGCTCATACATGATTAAAGCATGCATTTGGAAACTGTTGCAATTATCAATTGTTGCTTATCCATAATTTAGTAACAGTCACTAACTACATGTGTTGTAAATTACTTTGCAGGTTGCTTTCCCCGTCTTGGAGGATTTGGAAATTGAGGAATTGCCTAACATAATAGAGATATGGGACAAGCAATTAGTCATAGCCTCAGAAGAAGAATCAAAGTCCTTCTGCCAACTGAAAAATATGAGGGTTTCTAATTGTGGGAAATTGGTACATGTGGTCCTGTTCAATATGCTCTCACGACTGCAAAATCTGGAAACATTCAACGTAGATGCTTGTCCAAAGATGGAAGCAATAGTCTCGAAGAAAGGAAAAGAAGAAGGATCCACTAGTGATGATAACATCGTGTTCTCTCAATTAACAACTCTTCATCTTTCTAAGTTGGTGAGACTTAAAAGCTTCTACAACTGGCCTACAAGATCTAAGGCACAACCCTTGTTCAACCACCAGGTTTGATTTTTCTTTTTTATTTTTTTAACCCTTGCCGTGGGAAAGCGTGCGCACAGAAAAAAAAAAAAATTCCTTTTCCATTACAATTTTAAATTTGAAGCTTATTTTAATATTCTCTTTCTATCCAAATCCAAATAAAAGTAAAATAATTGAAAGGTGGATATGCTAGTGGTCTACGATGGAAATTACAATATTAGCCAAACAAAAATATGTATGAATTCTAATACACCATATTTTTATTTTGAATATGAATCGTAATATGATTTTATTTGACTCAAATATATATATATATATTAGTTTGTCTTCTTTACCATTTGAGCCAAACCCAAACGAGTTTTAATTGAACAGAGTTCGAGCTACTTGGTATTTTACTGCCCATTTAAGTTTATAGAACTGAGTTCAAACTGAACTCAAAAAATCGGTGAATTTCAAAATGTGTTAAATTTTAACTTATTTAAATAATAAGTCATTCTTGAATTGTTTTTTGTTGAGCCGAATATAAATCGAGTTCAAATAATTTGAT